CATTTGAGAGAGCCAGGCGTGGTCCCACGAGCGATGGCTATCTGGTGATAAATTGAATGACTTGTATCATTATCGCATCAGTAGAGATTTCCTCCAATTTAATTTGTATGCTTCTCAAAGAGCCTGACACAACGACGGTAGAATCACCAAGGAAGAAATACTATGTCTGATATAACATGTAACGACCTACGCCACCGCCGGATTTGGCCGGCGATGGAAGCACGCCACGCATGAAGTGCCAAATCATCTGTTGAGGTGGAGCCTCTCTTACTTACATTCTCGTTGCGTTGCAATGTCAACGTACGGATAATACGTCGTAGCAATTTTGCTTCGTCATGCCATGCCAACACTTCGATCCGTGGCCGGTCTCGACAAGATCGAAGGGAGATCCCGATGGAATGAGCTCGTGGACCGGAAGAAGGCGGTCTGAGGCTTCTTGGAATTGCGCCACCAAGTGAGCAAGTTCGAGTCGGAATTAATTCGCATTTCAAAGGGGAAGCGGAAGAAGAAGAATATAGCATCGTATTCCTGGCTCGTGGAAGTCAACATGGTCGGCTAGCGAAGCGGAAATGCGGAAGGGAGGAGGATATTCGTAATTCGAACTCCTCTCACGGTTCGACTCCGAAATCCCCGAACCGCTGCGGTACCTTGGTAGAGGTCAATGCACGGCAGATACAACTAAGATTGTTGAGCAGTTTATTTCAGCTCAAAAATCCCGAGGCACAAGGAGCGGTAGACAGCCTTCGATTCGAGTGGAGCCGCAATTACGCGTGGGTGAGTCCCTTCAAGAGTAGTACGTATACATATCCCTCAAATCATCTACTGGGAAAAAGAGGGAGATTTCAAATGTTCATGATTCGATATTACGGAACAGTTCCCACGGTTCGAAATTCCGACAACTGTGGTTGTTGGGACAAGGGAAGCCTAACTATGGGAAAAACTCGTAAATTTCTCAAAGGCGAATCTCAAAGAACAAGGAATTACGATTGCCTGCGATTCCAGCCCTGGAGAAAATGAACTCTGATCGAAGTAGAGCGGAATCAGAATCTACATTGCTTCGAATTCTTGGAACCTGGAAAATGAAATACCCACCGGTACCCTCTTTTGAGGGCTCCCGCAAAATAATTTGGTGTGTCTTGCCCTTGAAATAATGCACTTTCTAGAGCTCGACTATGCGGGATTCAAATCCCTCTCCTCGTCATAGAATCCCGAGCCAGGCGGGACGCGGCTTGGGTACATAGCAATTGCTTGCTAGTTATAAATTGACCTCCGACTGAATTCAACAAATTTGGAGTAGGAGGCGTCGGAGACGGCTGTCCCGCTGGCACTTTGCAACAAAGGCACCTTCTGTGGCAGCATTATCGAGTGGAGCCCTCTGCCAGAAGTGTCTGAATTTCTTGAATAAGATTGAAATCCCGGGAATCTAGGGCACAGATAGCATAGAATACGGCAATGACAAATGGAATCGAAAATCGAGTGGGATCCGGTGAATTGATATCCGGTAGTAATTTTGCATATCTTATCTCGTGGCGAAGCTAATGCGTCACCCAGCTTGGAACCTAGTCTGCCATGTCAGCAAAGGGAAGAGAAACGCAGGTACTTGATTTACCCTATGTACAGTGCAACTCAAAGCGAATCCCGCCCGAGCGAAACCGATTCGTGAATCGTCCACCGAAGTGGAGAATCAGACTTTCGTTCAACACCGGCGAGATTCATTGCCTATTGTCGAGGTTGTCGTTGTACCGAATGTCTATGTATAGACGCCTTCCTTTCCTTTGAGCAAGCCGTTTAGTGAGATAGATAACCATGGGGGAGGTAATGACGCGGGATGACTCACAGGCTGTCGAACGTTGAGCTTAGAGTCCCGAGACCACCGAATCGGTATTCGGAGCGTTCATCTTGTATTTCAACCGTGGGGATTTTCATTCGAAGGGTGAGCTCAATCAGAAGCGAGAATTAGAGGCATTCAAATAACTATAGGAAGTTCAGAGTGAGTAAGTAAATGATTTTGCTCAATTGATCCCCGTTGAAACAAAGCGAGGAACAGTTCGGTTCACGACAAAGTGGAGACTCAGGAATGTACATATTAGACACTGGGGAAATTTATCGCCTGTTGTCATTATTGCCATTGTCAAATTTCAATGTTGTGCCGAATTTGCAAGTCCATTCTTGATCCACTCAATTCATTTAGTCGATGGCAGCTATGTATGACACATAGGTGGCTATTGAGCGTGAGTAGGTATTTTTGAATCCCTTGCACGTTGATTTGATATTACGTCCCAAGTTGAACCGTGGGAAAATTGAATGGACAGACAGATATCTGAGGTGAGCAGCGACGCGATCCAGAGAGAGATCACGCATCGCAAAGGTAGAGAGAATTTGACTTGGAAAGCGGAAGCAGAAGTAGAAGTTGTCTGCATCGGACCGGATAATTATTATTACTGGCCTTTTGAAGAAGGAAGGAACTGAGTTCTGTGGCGCATCCACGCGAGGCACGCGAGAAAAGGGTCAGGATTCACTGAGTCGGCACCGACAAAAGAATTTTGAAAATTGAAATGTGGCTAAAGGAGAATTCTTTGAGAAGGTACGTTGGAATGCATTTTTTTGAGGGCGTCACAGCGGTGGGACGTATCTCCTGTGAAAAGATATCAGAATGAGACTACTCACTCAAGAGAACAAGAAAGACAGCGGAGGGAAGTCCTGATTAAACTTGTGAGTATAATTGATTCAGACGGTGATGATATCAAGACATGCATTACATGGATGGTTCGATTAAACTTTGAACAGCAGAGACGGAATGTTGTCCCACGCGCGGGAGAATTCCTCGTGTAGTTATTGCGTACGCATGGAGTGCGACTCATCCCGACAATCACCGACGACGACATCAACCGGCGAGACCCCCGCGCCGGATGAGTGTAATTTGCCTCTACCTCTGCCTCAACCTCAACCTCATTGCAACACGGTGAGGGCAATGATATGATGAGTGTCAACGAGTCGGTTCCGACGGAGGATTCGGGAAACACGAGGCGGAGGGAACCATGTAAGCAGCTGCGACAACGAAGAACGAAGGTGAACTTGAAGATGCGAACGGCAGCCGGGATATGCATATGCATGCGAGGCAGCTACATACGTAGAAAGGAAGGAATGCGATTGCTTCGCGGGACGGGTACGGTGCCGAGAGGAGAAGGAGCGTCGTATGCACGAGGCGGGTTCGTGTTGAATTTTTCGGGTTGCTCGGAGGAGTTTGCCAAAACTGCCACGGTTGAATTGGGGAGGGAGGGAGCTCAAATTCGATCGCTCGGAGCTTTCAATTCAAGCCAGTGTGCACTGTCTTTCCGGTAGCCTTCGAGTTTGAGTTTGCCATTGATAAAGTTGTACGTAGCGCCGTGAGCATTGCGTTTCACCGAGCAATAAGTAAGTCATAACTCAGAGTCAAAGCAAGAGGGAGGATCGGTCGGGAGTGTGCACTGTGGACGCCGACTCACTCCGAGTCCCGAGATGGAGTGCGTAGGTTACAAAACGCCGACCCGAGGGGGGCGCGTCACGTCCGGAAGCTTCAAGTCGGGAGTACGAAGAGAGTCCGTAAGTTACAAGATGCCGAGCCGAGGGGAGCGGGCGGGGCGCGTCAGTGGCAGATGAATTTGTATGTATGCATGGTTGCACGTAAATATATTGTCGGTGAGAGTGAAAAGTTGTTTTGATTTGATTTCGAGTTGTCAGTTGGAGCTTGAACGAGACAGCGAATAGACCGAGCAGGCCGAGCAGGTGGAATGATTATGATTACTTACGATGATGCAAGAAAAGACTTGACGAGGCGCCGGTTTTTTTATCGTGAACCGGGGTTGCGGCTCATTATTAGAGTCGTGCTAGTACCTATCCTGTTGAACAACGTTCCAATGGATCGAGGTGTAGTTCAAGAAGTTGCGGCGTTCCGGGACTCCGACCGGGAGTCCCAGTCGTTCTAGATCAAATTCTTCGGCTTGCGTGCTGCCAGAGCATTGATAGTTCTCGACTATGATAGCACTTTATCAACTCGGAGATCTAGAAATCTCAAGATTCTGCTACTTCGGTGAATACATACCCATCTCGTTGTCTCCAGATTCCAAGTTCAACATAGGAGATTAACAAGCCGTTATCCGGCTACTGATGCGATCGATGATTCTGTGATGAATCACCACGGCCGCACGGCAAGTTGAAAATACTTGAGATTGAAGGTTGTTTCTGTCTGTTGTGTGCTCAAGCGCTGAAGGATGGTACGACCTGGTTAAACATGCATGTACCCTCTCAGCCGTTTCCGCATTGTGAGAGAACATCTGGGAGAATTCTGGTTCCATTCCAGACTAGGCCATGTCCCCAAGGCGGCGTTCACTTTTTTCTCTCTCTTGGATTTCATGCGAGTAAATGTGAACTGGCTTGGCGATTGCTTAAATTAAAACATTGCTGAGCTTCTGTGTAATTTTATGCCCCATTCTTATAGGCAGTTCTGCCAGGAACTTCTCATTCAGTTCGGTTCCAGACTATGCCATGTGGCGGTTTTTCGATGCTTTTGCTTGGTTCTTCTGCAAGTATTATCAATGTCATGTCAGTTATTGTCTTTGATTGCTTGAAATGAGACCCGGCAGTATATGGATGTACATTCTCAGTCCAGTCGGTGCCGTATCGTGCTGAGTTTTCGACTGTGAGAGCCTCTGGTTCGATTCCAGGCTGGGTCATACGTCGTGAAGGGTGCTGGTTCTTTTTCTTCTTCCGTGTCTTGGGGTGGAGTGGTTGATTTAATTTAAATCCAGTTTGAACTTTTGCAATTGAATTAAAGCAAGTAATAAGACCTGATTATATACCACGGATCTCCCCTTTCAATGATGTGTGGAAGTCATTTGGGAGCGGCTGGTTGGAATCCAGGAAGGTCTCACACAATGCAATGGAAGTCTGTTCTTTTTTTCAGGTATTGATTGGTTGAATTCTAAAATCCATTGCTTCATATTATACTTCTGCATTGGCAAGACCTGGTGGTACATGGTTGTACACTCTTGGTAATAGGCTGCCGTCTGCTGGTCTCTAGTAAATTTCAGGGGGTTCCTGGTTCAATTCCAGGCTAGGTCATAGACGTGTTGACGCAGTGGTTCATTTTTGTTGAACTGATTAATAAGAAATACCACGGGATTTTTTGAAATCAAACGTCCGTGTACTCGGAACAGTGAGAGCAACAGGAAGAACTATCATTTTCTTCAGCTACCTGTTGCTTGAATCCAAAATCCACTGGTGTATCTCATTGTAATGTAACATTTGTTCATTGGCATTGACATCAGCAAGACCTGGTGGTACATGGCTGTACACTCTCGCTCACGTAGTATTTTGGGTGTATTCCGATTCAGAGAGTTCCTGGTTCGATTCCGGGCTAGATCATACCGCGGTGGATTTCATGTTTTTCTAGTGAATTATTGATTCAAGCTCAACCCTTAATTTTTTAAATGAATGAATATGAGAAGGATATCTGAATTGCTCTCAGCTGTCAGTGAGTGTTAGCACAAATTATAACGAGTTCAACAGTGACCTGGTGGTGGCCCGCTTGCGATGGTTCAAGTTCCGCATATAATGCATATCAGGAGCAGATTCCGTTCAACCCGAGTTCAACGTTCAACTCTTGGGCAGGTTAAAATATATTAGGTATGGTTTTCTCTTTTTGCTTCGACTGCCTCCCCAGTTTTTCAACCATTTTCTTCAACCATTTTTTACTTCCGTCCCGCGTTGCATTCAGTAAGCAGCATCTCGTCACCGACGGCGCATGCACCTTCCGCCTGTCAACGTCGAACAAAGTTTGAAGTTTCTGTATGTAAATAATTGTCTGAACCCGGAATGAAATCGGGGTACGCACCGAGGAGAGGGAGCTGTCAAAGGCACAATGAAAATTGATGGTTGATTGGGATTGCTGGGATTCCTGTCAAAAATCTTTTCTCACTCTCACTTTCATTGTCAAGCTGCCCCGGGCCCCCAAGTGCTTCTCGTTCCGCGCCGCGATAACGATTATAGGACAGGATGAAGTTGCGGCCCCCCTTGCTTGGTTTTTTCTCTATTTGCCGTTGAGCCGGAGACAGACAGACAGACGAAACTTTCAATGGATACAAGATATGGCAGGGAGGGTAGGATGGACAGCGGCGATTGGGATGAGATGGATGGACACATACAGCAGATGAGACAGACGTGCATACACTCTGTTGTTGTTGGCTGGCTTTCCCCTTGATGGCCTCGCAAGAAAAGGCACGCGCCGATGCCGGAAGAAGGGCGGCGCGAAGAAGGAAGGAAGCGAATTGCCACTGAGCATGGACGGACGAATAAGTATCGTACCTCAAATATTCTTAGCCGGAACGCTTTTTAGGTCCCCATCCCATTTCAATTCTTCGAGTTCGTCTCTGTGTGCTTCCTTTCGTCGACGATAACCTCTCCTCGACGCCACCGAGACCACTCCAACTCCAATGGCGCGCCCCGCACCCCTCTCCTTCGGCAACACCGTGACGCCCTTCGAGCCCGACAACGCCACGCACCACTCATCCTCCGACTCCTCCGACTTCCTCGACGAAGCGCACACCCAATCCAACTCCGACTCCCCCGTCATCCCCGCCCACCCCAACGCTAGCAGCTCCCCGCCCGTGACCCCGCGCTCCCTCAGCTTCCTCACCCCGCACCCGCCGCTTCCTCTTCCCCTCCCCGCAGCAACGGCAACCGCAACGAACCCGTTCTCCCCGCCCGCGTCCGTGCGCTCGTTCAGCGCGGCGTCTTTCGGCGGGGCGGAGACGCCTTACGCGCACGCGCACAACGCGAGTGGGGGTGGGTACCCGTTCCCGAATTTGTCCCCGGGGAGCACGCGCGCGAGCTCGTTGGTCGACGTGCCGAGGGCGTTCTCGAACAACGGCAGCAGACCGAACACCGGCGTTGAGGGCTCGCCGTTCGCCAACCCGCCCGGTTCTATGCCCCTCCCCACTTCTTCAAGCAACGGCGGAGGCACCCCCAAAAGAGAAGCCTTCGCCTCCCCGCCCTCGCGCCCCCTCACTCTCTACACCCACGCGTCCTCCACGCCGGGGTCTCCCGTTAACGCCTCGTTCCTCCATCCCGCCCACCCCAACGCGAACTCCAACTCTAATATCAACGGGGGGACGCGCCGGAAGAGCACCGCGATCCTCGTGCCCTCTCGAAGCGTCCCTGGCGCGGAACAAGCTGATAAGAGCACGCATCCCAAGAGGCCGACGTTGTTGGTCGAGCTGGATAAGGCGTGGTTGTCGTGTTCTTCCGCCAATGATTCTAACAGTGAGTTGAACGAGAAGAATGGGAAGAGCAACAAGAAAGGAGCGAAGAAAGACACATCCGCCTGGCTCGCATACCTCATCACCTACGGGACGATCTTCATTGGCGTCGTGGCGGGGGCGTTCCGCGCGTGGACGGGGTGGAGGGGTGTTAGTTTGTTGACGGTGGGTGTCTTCTTCTTGGTTGTTTTCTCCGACTTTCTTCGGATTTTCTTCATCTCGCATTTCTCTCTTGCCTTGATTTGCCATCGACTTCGTCTTTTCCTTCCTCTTCCCCCTCCCTATCTCCCATTTTCTCTTTTCTCCCTCCCTTCCTTCTTTCCTCTTCCCTCCTTCTTTCTTCCCCCCTCCTCCCATTCTTTCCCCTTCCCTCTCCCCCCTCCTTCCTCCCTCCTTCCCCTCCCCCTTCCTTCCTTCTTTTCTCTCTTGCCTTCCTTCTCCCCTCTCCCCTCTCCCATATTCTTCCCTCTTCCTCCCTCTTTTTTCTTCCCTCTCCATCTTTCTTCTCATTCTCTCTCTCTCTCCCACCTTTCTATTCTATTTTGATTATCAAATCTCACTCACCCCGTCCCCGTAGGCCCCCCTCTGCCCCGTCCTCCTCGAAGACTTCACCACCACCACCACCGCGCAGCTCTTCGGCAGCGGCGTCGCGGGCGAGGGCGGGACGTTCTTTAGGGAGGTGGATGCGAGTGGGTTTGGGTGCGTCGAATTCCTCCATCTCATTTCCTTCATATATCTATCTATATACTAACGCTTACCTGTGTTTAGGAACGGCGAATTCGAAATGACCACCGCCTCCGACACCAACTCCTTCGTGCACAACGGCCAGCTCTATATCCTCCCCACGTTGACGAGCGATGTGATTCCGCTGGGGAGTGTTTTGGGTGCGTTGGGATTCTCTCTCTCTCTTCTTCCCTTCGCTTGGCGGCGCCCTCTTTTCCTGTCATTATTATTATTTCAGAGAAGCTCGCTAACGCTCGCACAGACAACTCAATCTACAACCTCACCGGCTGCACCTACAACATCACCCACTCCACGGGGTACACCACCTCCGGGCACGGCGCCGCCGGGATCAACACCACCGAGGGCGAGAGCGGCGGCGGGGGTGGTGGGATTGGTGGGTGCTTCCTCTTTCTATGTCTTTTTCTTTCTATTTCGGTTGAGGCATCTTCGTCGTTCGTTGATGGATGATATCTCCGTCTTCCTTCGTTGAGGGATAACATCCTCGTATTCGTCGCTGATGGATGGTATCTTCGTATCCCTTCGTTGATAACATTCCAATACTCTTTTGCTGATGGATGACATTCCAGCCCCCGACGCCCCACTCGACCTCCCAGCGTACCTGGCCGCGTGCTCGGCGGTGTCGAACGCGACGGAGGGGAAGATATTGCCGCCTGTGATGAGTGCGAGGATTAGTACGAGGAAGAGTGCGAGTTTGAGGTGAGCAGCTCCTACCAACACCTTCATCTCCACTTCATACCATCTCGCTGCCTTCTCCCTTCCTCACCTCCCCCACTTTCTCCCACTCGTGGTCCCGCCTTCCCCGCCCGCCCCGTCCTGCCTCCACGATCTTCCTCACCCTCACCCTCTCCCCCTCCCCCTCCCTCGGCATTCTCCCACTCCCACTTCCACTCGCCCTCCACACTATCTTGCTATGTCACCCTCACCCGACCTTGCTGACGCTCGCTCCCCCACAGATTCGGCCGCGTCGAAGTGGTCGCAAAGCTCCCCACCGGCGACTGGCTCTGGCCCGCCATCTGGATGCTCCCCGTCGGCAACGTCTACGGCGGGTGGCCCCTCAGCGGCGAGATCGATATTATGGAGTCGCGAGGGAATGGGCCGAGTTATCCGAAGCAGTGAGTGTTTCTCTCCCCCCGTTATCATATAAATCAAAAAGAGAGACTTCTCTCTTCATCTCAAAAGAGATTTCTCTTCATAAAAAAGAAGACGCTTTTTGCGCCCGTTAACACTCGCTCGCTGATGCTCGACGTTTGACGCTCGCTAACACTCCCACAGAGGCGTCAACTACGTGCGGTCGTCGCTCAATTGGGGCCCCGCGACGTTCTTGAACGCGGTGGCGAAGACGTATGGGTGGTGGACGCAGAGACGGGGGCGGTACGATGAGGGGTTCCATACGTATGCGTTGGAGTGGAGCGAGGGGTTCATGTACGTGTCTCTCTTCCCTTGTCCCCTGCTTTATCTCTATGTACTAATACGCTCCTTCATCTCTATGTGTACTGATAGGCGGATGTACGTCGACTCGCGGCTCACACACATGTACGAGATCAAGCTCAGCAAGTCCTTCTGGGATTTTGGCGACTTCCCGCCCGTGGTGCAGAACGGGACCGAGAGCGTCGTGTTGCAGAATCCGTGGGTGAATGGGACGAAGGCGGCGCCGTTTGATCAGCGTGAGTTTGCCTCCCTCCTTCCTCTTCCTCCTCCTTCCTCCGTTCCTTCCTCCCTCCTTCCTCCTTATTTCTTTCGTGATATGAATACGTGCTTACGATGCTGCGTAGCCTTCTACCTAATCATGAACGTCGCGGTGGGCGGGACGAATGGATGGTTCCCTGATGGGCCGGAGAAGCCCTGGCTTGATGGGTCTGCGAGTGAGTCTTCCCTCCGTTCTCTCTCTCCTCCACTTGTATGTTTTGCACCAACTGACTGACATCTACTCTATAGCCGCCCCGCTCGACTTCCTCCGCGCGCAAAGTCAGTGGTACTCCACCTGGCCGCAAGACCCGTTCAAGCGTGCGATGGTCATGTGCGTCTGCTTCTTCCTCCTCCCCTCCCTTTCTCCCGCGCTGA